ACGATAGAGCTTTCAGACTTACCATTTATTAGCTCAAGCATAAGAAAACATGAAAGCTTCAAAAGTATTAGTATCAGCACCTCTCTGACAGCATGGTGGGTGTATGTAAAAATGACAGTCTTCACTAGTACCATGCAGACGCACACCTATCTGGAATAATCCTGACATTTTGCAAAATTACCAAACGATGAACCTTCCGGACTGGAAAAATAAAGGAATCCTATACCTGGAACACATATATGAAGGATTGGATTTCATCCCATTTATTGGAATAGTCTCCCAATTTGGAATGGATAAGAATAGCTTTTTAGAATATCACCTAATTAAATCTGTAGTCAAACAAAAATTTAAGCTCAATAAAATAGAATTACAAACACCACCAAGGGTTTTAGACTTCTATAATCTCAAACCCCCCAAACTACTGTCTAACGCCAGGGACACACCAGCCGCGGAAGCGCCGCGAAGCGCCGAGAAGCGAATCGCTCACGAAATTCGGCCGCTGCTCGCCGCTCCTCAGTTCAGATCAGACGCGCCCCAGTCGAGGCGCGCCTCGGCTCAGCTGTAGTTTTTCTTTTAAACACTTGGTGTCCTCCATTTCCTCTCTGCCTTTTCTCAGCTCTTTTCCTCTACGTTTGAGTGTTTGTACGCGTGTGCGTGTGTGTGCGTGCGTGCGTGTGTGTGTGTGAACCTATGGTATGAGCTGTTTCTGCCAGTTGAATCTCTTGGAACCCGCTCCAATTCTGCAGCTGTATCCTAGCAGTTTCTTCCTAAATGTACAGCTCCTTGTGTTTCTCAACTTCCATAATTCATTTAAAGTCATCAATCTTAACTGCTTGCCTCAGACTTTCTGCCTCTCTGTCCTGTTTGCTCCGGTGAAAAGACACCCAAAACCACACCCCCCTTCACGTGGTCACACACGCACACAAGTTCGATGTGTGTGTATGTGTGTGCGTGTTCGTGTGGTTTTTCTGCAGTGTCTGTTTACAAACACATTTGACTATTGCGGAATTTTTATTTTGAAATGCTTTATTTTGTTAACTTTACCGGCCTGCCTCTTATGTCTAAGTTTGACTTCCTGCCAGAATTGACGCGATTCACCCGCGGCTCGCGAAAAAAATAGAGCCAACGCCGAAATGATCGCTGCACGGCGTGGGCTGGAGCGCCGGCGCGTGCCGGCGCGAGGCGATTCGCGGCGCTTCGGCGGCCCATGTGGTCTATAGAATAGCTTAACAAGGGCGCCGAATGAAGGCGGTCCCATTTTCGCGACGCTTCCACGGCCAGTGTGTCCCCGGCGTAAAGTTTATAAGACATTGTCCAAAATAGACGATAGAATAGCAATCCCTATTGAAAAATGGGAGGTGGATCTATCAGTCAGCTTTGACCAGAACTTCTGGTCCCAAACCTGTTTAAAAACTTTTAAAATGATCAGACACCCCAATTTACAATTAATTCAGTACAAAATTCTAAAAAGAGTACACTATACAGGTCATCGGATGTTCAAGATGGGGTTTGTGTCATCTGACACCTGTACACACTGCACAAACAACATTCCTGACAATTACATTCACGCACTGTGGTCCTGTCCACCTGTCCAGGAATTTTGGGGTAGAGTATGTGAGGATCTGTCAAAATGTCTGAAATGTCATATCCCAACCACTCCCTCTCTTTGTTTACTGGGAAACCTGGACGATGTCCCGATCGAAACATCTTTGGTTCACGTGGTTCTTACTGCCATATGCATCGCTAAGAAAACTATCCTCTTGAATTGGAAAAATACAGAAACTCTGCATTAACAAGTATAGAAATCTTTTGTTAGATCATATTACACTTGATCCAGCCTCTGCTTCCACTTCAAATCAATCTCTCTGGGCTCCTTTGATCGGTTCCATCACAGAGCGATGATGGGGGACCGTTGATGTTGTCCTGCGGGATGATGTGTGTGTGTGTGGGGGGGGGGGGTGGGGGGGGGGGTCTGAGTTTGGAGTATCCGTATGTTCCCTGGAGGTGGGTTCACTGGGGGTGTCTGGGGCTGGGGGGCCGTGCTTGGGTTGCCTCGGGGGGTGGACTACTGGCGGTTGTGAGTGGGGCCCCTTGGAGGTCTTGACGGCGGCCATGGGTCACTGCCTGGCAGCTGCATTGCCCCTGAGCGGGTCTGGGTGGGGGCCTGGGGGCTCGGGGTGTGGGGGTGGCCGGCCCCGTGTGGGGATTTGGGCGGGGCCTTGGGGGTCGGGTCTGCCGGGAAGAAGGCAGGAACATGCAGCAGTGCCTGGCCCGGGTTCAGGGGCCTCGGGTAGACCTTGGCTCCTCTGCTGTTCCATCACAGGGGAGGGGGAGGTCCAGCAGGGGGAGGACCCAACCTGACCTGGATGTCCTATGTCTTATATATTCTGGAAGTTGTGCAAATGCAGGGATGGGCATAGATATTCTGCTGGGGTGGGGCTGGGTTGGTGCCCTCGGACTCCATGAGGCTCTGTAATGCTGCTGCTTTGGGCCCTGGCAGGATGGGCTGGGGTCTCCATGCCCTGGGTGGCAATTTGACAACAGAGGTGCCTATTGGGGCCAGTGGGGGAGCTGGCTTCCTGGAGGGCTAAGCCCAACCAACCATTCCTCCCCATCCCCGTATATTTCTGTCCTCCTGCTCCCTCACATCATCACGCAAACATGCACATAGGACCTTGGGGGGTGGACAAGTCAGGGAGTGCGGGTATAGAGCCCATTTCTGCATTCCTGTGGCAACCTGTCCCCCAATTTTATTTGCACCTTATACACTTCCACCAACGACATTCCAAGCAAACACACACTTAGGGCCTTGGGAGTGACCACATTCAACAGCACTTGGCAGGGGATTTCTCAGCCTCCTCCTGAGTGCCGGTGCCCACTTCCAAATTTAAACTGCACTTAGACACCGAAGGCTGTGGGTGCAAGTGAGGTGGTGCGGTGGCATCCGCTGGCATAGGCCAGACAATGCCCGCACTGCCTGCTCACCACAGCCATGAAATACACCTCATCAACACACAACACTATATTGGAGCAGGCAGAGAGAGACTAGGGGTCTTAGCACACCTCTGTTGTTGCTTGGCTTCCTGGGGCTGGAGGCTAGGAGGGAGATCTGGCCGTCTGGTTGGGGTCTGGGGTGGTGGGTTGCTGTGCTCAGCGTTGGGCGGGGGAGCCTGCTCATCAGCACCCCAGCAGAAAGGGTCAAACTCTGGTAACCGGTGATGGTTGTACCCAATGTGCAGCAGTACCGGGACCAGAGTGAATTGGGTGTGTATGGGGAGCATGAGTGCATTTTTGTAAGTCTTTGGTAGTATGTGCATGTGTGAGGATGAGGGAGGGAGTGTGACTGTGTTTGTGTATGACTGTATATGTCAGGTGGGGCCTTTGACTCCTCTCTTCTCCTGGGAATTGTTTTGATGATATAGATCTTCGTCTCCCCTCCCCCTGCCCCACCTGGTGTGGGGTGTGGGGCCTTGGTCTGCCTGAGTGTTCGTGGCTCCCGGGCCAGGGAGCTTAAGATTTTTGGCGTCTGCGTGATCAATCCCAGTTGCTGCCTGGTGAGCTCTGGGTCCCTGGGCTCTGCTGGGTCCCCGGCGGGGGTGGTCGCCCCTGGGTCCCGGGTCGCTGGGTCCCGGGCTCGGCCGGCTAGGGAGTGGGAGGCTGTAGGTGGGCATGTGGGCTTGCCGCTGATATCTCCCGGGACTCTGCTGGCTGCTGGTTGTGCCCCCCCGGGGCGATTCTCTGTACGTCTCGAGGGGTGTGGGGGCCTTTCTGGTTGCAGTCTCCTTGGGGTTCCTGTGTTCTGGGGCAGCGCCTGGATCTCTGGGACTTGGAGCTCCCCCCGTCTCCTACACTTCTCTGGGGGGTGGATCTGTGGTCCCTCACACTCTCTATTGGACGCTCCTATAGAGAAACCTTACATAAACAAGCGTGTGTACACACACAGGTGCTCACATGGTGCTCTCAAAAGTATGGGCTTGGGCACGTTCAACACATGTCTTAAGGCTGTTGTTGCCACTAAATGCACTATGATTTATTATCGTGTGATTGTTCAGTTAAACAATTTTGATTTTATATTTCATCATCAGGTTGACGCAGTGATAGCTTGCTCCTGATGTATTGTTGTGTCCCATTTTTTTCTGCTCTTTCTCTTTCTGCAGGTCTAGAAGCAGACTCTTGTTCATTATTGTTTATTTTTGTGGACACCCCCCCCCCCCCTTCCCACCTTTTGTCTTTTCCTTTCTCTTTCACCTCTGTCGCCGTGTCTGGTCGGAATTACAAAGCATTCAAAAACAATAACAATAAAGTTTTAAGTATCAGGCGTGACATTAAAAGCAGACGCTTTGATGCTCCACCTGAGAGTAAATCTGTAAGGCTTGTTACCAGCGTTCAGACATCAATTCTGTTTGCTTCACAGCCAGACAGGACATGGTTAAAAAAATTCATGAGAAATCCTGAGTACTCACTTGTCAACAATACAACAACATAGATATGAGAATATCTCCAATTTCTGAGTATGGAAACAATTACATTCAAGTGCCCACTTATCAGCAGATTCAAAAATAAGTCATCTCAATTCATGGGACCACAAAAGTAAACGGAGTACTAACTCTCCTAACAGAGATTAAAAAAAACAGACAAAAGTGCATCTCAAACCTGTAACATGCCAAACATTTGAGTTCCTGGAATCGATTCTGAACTTTTGTGAATCGATTCTGAATCTTTATAAATAAGAATCCTGATTCAGACTTGAATCAAATTTTTTTTACCACCTCTAATTTGCTTTTTGAAAGAGAAAATAATAATTGTAAAGATGTTTGCTTTTTCAATATTTGGTAAAAAAAACACTCAGAAGAAAATTGGCATAATTTAAAGATCAACCTTTGGCTCTTAGGTGGCTGTGACTTATTGCATATTTCAAGTGAATTTCTCACCCTCCTGCTTGCATTGATGCATGCTCAGTGTTAATGTGAACCACAGATGATCCATCTATTTTTACTCACACAATCCCATTCCCACACTTGTCACACATGGGCAGTTTTTGCAGGTTTCCTGTAGGTGGAGTTGATTTTGTCGTTGGGGCTTTCACTGTTCGAGTCACAATGGGCCGAGTGCCTATCCACAGGGGGGGGGGGGGAGAGAGAGAGAGAGAGAGAGAGAGAGAGAGAGAGAGAGAGAGAGAGAGAGAGAGAGAGACAGAGAGAGAGAGACAGAGAGAGAGATTAAACTAGACAGCCCTGTTCAACAGGAGCGTATATAATAAACCAAAACACTTGACAGATATGAGGCAGGAACACTTGCAGTGAGGCAACTTACAAAAGCCTCTTGAATGCTAATTGGTGCTTCCTTCTGGTTTTGAAAGGTTTTTATAATTAAATTTAGCCAGGACACATTTTATTTCTACTCTGCAGAGGAAACACACAGAGGAGTGCTTTTGTATCGATGCGGTATACTGTGTTAACAGGCCAGCTCTAAGTGACATCACAGGAATATTCTAATTACTGGCTAGGAGCAATTTTCTTTATTATAAGCACCATTGTTTATTATATGGTTGTTGGTCCAATTTAAAAAAATGATAATGTTATAACAAATGCATAATAATCTTTTTACTTTATTGTGTGTAACTACATAATTGTGGTAAAAATTTGTTTAACATGTTTAATTATGATTAACAACAGGTTTTTGAAAGTTAATAAAAATGTTAATTTTTTCCAAAAAATCATGAATGTTTTATGAAATACAGGCACACCTACGATGGAACAATGCCTTATAAAAAAAGGAATAAACTATAGGAGCAGTTTTTTAAAATAACGACAAAGTTTCTTGTTGCAACGCGGTATATATCTTATAAAGCTAACCCTAATCCGAGAACAGTTCTCATAATAACGAGCTATACCCTATATCTGTAAGTGAGGTCCTGGAGGGTTCGTAGGATTTTGTCAACCAATTTACAGATGCTTTGTGAATTTGGAGAAGGTGCATGCTGGAGGGACTATGTTTTTTGGCTGGCTACAGGTCAGGCATGGACGTAGTTTTGACTTTAGAAGTGGGGGAGACCTAGTGCTCAACCTGTGTCTATTTAATATAGAGTAATATGGTTTTTGGACGGTAAAAAGTACAGGGGACAAAAATCGACTTTGGCAAAAGTGGCAGGGACATGTCCCCCCCGTCCCGCCTCAAACTACGTCCATGAGGCCAGGGAACACCTTGATCCCCTCTGCTTCTTAAAATGACATAATGAAGCTCTTCTTGACAGTTTCTTCTGGGTGAGACTGAAGCATCCCAGTAGGTGTCTGCATTTCACCCTGTAGAGTTATCTCATTACTGCAAAAATAATTAACATGTCCTTTTGAGAAACTTTCCCGTTGAAATTACTATTTTATGTCTTTATTAAATTTTCTTGTTACAATGAGAATTAAATTACATTATAACAAGATCCTTTGTCATTATATACTGCTCCTATATTTTGTTACTCGCATTGGCGGTAATACGCTTCCGTAGAACCCATAAGGACTGCTGACGTCAACGTGTGTCACCATAACAAGGTCATAAAGAGTAACATAAACAACACACACACACACACACACACACACACACACACACACACACACACACACACACACACACACACACACACACACACACACACACACACACACACACACACACACACACACACACACACACACACACTTTAAATGCAATGCTAAAACCAGCTGCTACTGAAATTAGCCGAGCATTTGTCAGAAAGTCCCTGTGAAATGCTTTTGTTGTATTGGAGGAAATACATCATCTGGAGAGGGACATAGAAATCTAACCATCACTGTCGATAAACTCCTGCAGGGCTTTGAAGGAACCAGACTGCCGGGGCTCCTGGGGGTCCTCCTGATCTTTCTGTAACATCCGGTACACATCAGACTCCTCGATGCTGCTCAGAGTCCTGGGACTGAGCAGACAAATACACAACAATTTAAGCACACATTCCAGCTGTCTGATGAACTTGTAAAGGAAATAGAGCATTTAAAAGACATGGAGGTCAAATGCTGTGTTTGATAAGTTAAGAAACTGTTAAAAGATGTTATTTACAACATGATGCTGAAAGATAATTAAGCTTTTATTTTAAAAAATACTGTTTTAAATCCTTCATATTGATGGTTCGGAGGCTTTTTAGCTGATACTTGTTTATAGTTACAGACCAAATTAAATCCACTCCACACACAAATAGCAGGTGGGCAACAAGTAATGAAAAACAAAAATAATGAAAAGTAACAAAAACTTAATTTTTGCTGCCTTTTGAATGTGTTAGTATTAAACTATAAGGTTTGTCCTGATGCACAACAGCAAAGGCAGTTTATAGTGGAACAAGGAGTGCTTTCATGAAGTTCTCCAAATTTCTAAAAGAGTTTCTATAAATAAAATGGCAACCCTGTAAATTGCTTGAATTTTTTCAAATAACTTTTAAAGTAAGTTTAACAGTGATTAAAAGCCACAGCAATTCACCTAAATAACACGGATAAATAAAGCAATGAACCCTGACACTTCCTTTATAACTAAGTAATGATGTGTTTGCCTAAGTTCTCACAGAGAAATGTGAGTCATCATTGACAGATTGTCTTCTTTTATGAAGCGAACAAATCAGACTCAAATGTATTTAAAGCCATTTAGAAGAATCAAGGGCTTGATGTAATTTAAGGTGGAAGGTTGCAATGCGTTACGTACATTGGTAAAAATCTCCTAAAATGTTTTTGTGGGTTTTTAGAGGCCGGCAGAGTTTGCTCATTAGTGGGGTACGAAGTTTAAAAAAAAAAAATTAAAGTCATTTAAAAAAGTTTTATTGTTTTAATATGACTATCTGACCCTATTCTATGATAGAAAGTCGGTCATCTTTCATAACGTATATTTCCCTCCCCTAGCCTCTAAAGGAAAACGATTCATTTTCTAGAGCTGTTACCAATGGAGTTGCTTATCCACAAGAGGGAGCTGTATAAGAAAAAGCGCCCCCGTTCCCAGCATGCACTGTGGGGTGACACAGACTCCCCAGTCAGGTTAGCACACTGGCGCTAACTTAACTAGCACTGAATTATTGTCAGTCTTTAAAATACAAGCTAGGAGGCAGGGGAACAAAAAGGGATTTAGCTTGTGTGTACTGAAACCAGAGTTATCAGTGTGTTCATCCTTATGCTAAATTGGACTATTAGTTTAACCTAGCGTTTGATTCCTCCTTCCTCCTTTTCTCTATGAGGTCATGCTACAAACAACAGCTTTAAAGGTGCATAATGACAACAGCCGAAGCAAAATGATTTAGCTCTGCATTTCGGTCTAGCCACGCTCCATTGGAGCCTTAGCTGGTCTAACATTGGCCTGAGCAGTATTGTGCCAATCACAGCGCTCTATTGGTTTGGTGGGCAAAAGTTATGCTACGCAGCAGAACAACTAAGATGGCAACAGCTTGTTTGAAACAGCTGTGGCATCATGCTGGTGATTCATGGTAATCCAAAGGGGTTTGAATGAACGGACCTTTGCCTTTCCACCATCTATTTCAAGCACAATGACAAGTTTTACCGGCAGAAACATGGATGTTCCATGGGCTCTCTGGTATCACCTATCGTCACCAACAATTCCATGGAGGAAGTCGAAACCAGAGCATTGAACTCCTACAATGGAACAACACCAAGCCACTGGTTCAGGTATGTGGACGGCACATGGGTCAAAATTCTCACAAAGAAAGAAGACTTTACCAAGCACATTAATGCTGTGGACAAAAACATCAAGTTCACCAGGGAGGATGTACACAACAACAAACTGCCCTTCTTGGACTGAGCTGGGCAAATTGAAATGGATGGAAGTTTCAGCATTGAAGTCTACAGGAAACCAACTCACACAGACCAGTATTTTGCACTTCGACTCACATCACCCACTGGAGCACAAAAGGTCAGTCATCAGGACATATAATATTCCCACAAGGACTGAGGGAAAGCAAAGGGAAAAGAAACACATCAAGAAAGCTTATCAGAACTGCAGATTCCCTAACTGGGCCATTGTGAAATCAACTAAGAAGTCTGGAAAAGCATCTACTGCAGCAACCAGCAAAGAAAAGGACAACAGGCGCTAAAGCGCCATCATCCCATACGTGACCCGAGTCTCAGAGAAACTAAGAAGAATTTTCTCCAAACATAACATCCCAGTACACTTTAAACACAACACCCTTAGACAGAAATTGTGAACATCCAAAATCACACGTGATGTTGCATTTCTAATGTGATTTTGTAACCTTGTTGGACTAGCTCAGTGGAACCCTTTTGCTCCTGTTTCGCGTCTGAAACGCTCACAGTTGGAAGGAAGCTCATGGGTAAAATGCTTCCATTACATTGCAAACCATTCATGCGTCTGGTGGAAAGTAGGATTAGGGGTACAAGAAATAACTTCTGGGCCGCTAATGCTACTGGCTAAAGATCTTTCCAAAACGCTGCTGCATTTTTCAAGCCTGTGTCGAATGACAAATGCTGGCGCAGACTCTGCAACCCCATTGGCTCATGGTTTGTAAACAAAGACAGCAACCCTCTTTGGCCTTTCACAAAGGAGAACAACTGACAACCCTCAGCCATCTGACTAGGAAATCTATTTAAATTTGCCCACATGATTGAGACATTAGCCTGTTTTGTGATTTATTTTCTCTCTAAATGTCTTACTTATTGGACCTTTTAGACTTAAAGTACTCAGAGACACATAGTTATGGTAAATAACAGTAGGCAGAAGCATAGTGCCAACTGCTAAGAAACACACGATTAGCTGTGGTGGCCACCTGTCAGGTTTGTGTGGAACCAGGCCTCGAATTTGTCCCTCCATGGCATCCTGGATGTTGCCCGAGGAGTAGAGACCAATGGGCGTGTTGTAGGACGTGCTCACCACCTGACGCTTGTCATCGATGTTTGCAGCCGCGACAAACGGCTGAGCTCGTCGGTTGTGGGCGGTGCCGATCGGCTTGAGCTCCTAGAGGGGGGAGAAGGAAACATGAACATCGTTTTCATCATAATAAGATAAAATAAGCAAAGCGACACAGAATAAAGGTACATTTTGTTACGCACCTGCTGCTCTGCTTCTAGGTTTAGTTTAAACGGGTGAGCTCTGCCATCTTCGATCACACGTGGAGTCCACAGTCTGGATTCATTCCTGGGATCACAGACTTTCAGCTCAGTTTTTTTTATTGTTTTGTATTAAATAGAAGTCTTTTGTAGGTAATTAATTAGAGTTGGTTAATATGCAAACCTCTCCACGGTGAGACAGAGCTGACTGGTGGATTCTTTAATCTTGCTCTGGGCTTCACAGTGCAGCATGTTGATGGCAGGGACGCCCTCTATGGCCAGGATCTGGTCTCCCGCACACAAGTTGGCAATGGATGCTTTACTGCCAGGAGTGATCTAAATGGGACCAAATAAAATGATTTTTAAAGTATAATTTCCATATAAAACTACAGTAGTAACCAGAGTTGTGGCCAAGTCACTGATTTGCAAGTCACAATTAAGTCACAAGTCTTTCCAGTCAAGTCTCAAGTCAAAGACAACCAAGTCCAAGTCGAGTCCAAAGTCAATGATGCGGAAGTCCAAGTCAAGTCTAACTCCTTAACTTTGAATTTAAGTCATAATCAAGTCATCTGTCCAACTTCAATTTAATGACGATGATAATAAATAAATTCCAGAAATAAAGCTTCTTAAAGCTTCATTTATTTGCTCTAACAAGCAGAAAGTGCAAATGAAATTGATTATAAACAAAGTGCTGCATTTAGCAGTACAAGATCACACCCAGAACCAAGAATGATTTATGATTTTTGTCCATGTCGTGCCACTTTTGTGCTAAAATATCAAATATGCTCAAGTCATTGTCAAGTCAACAGAAGCAAGTCGATTCAAGTAGCAAGTCATTGGCGTTCAAGTCTGAGTCAAGTCGTAAGTCTTTATAGATTTTATCAAGTCAGAAGTCATTAAAATAATGACTCGAGTTCAGGTCATTTGACTCGAGTCCACACCTCTGGTAATAACATTACAGTTTCCTCAGTATAGAGAGGGTGATTGCAATGTGGTGTGTAGACAGCATGTTTGACATGGTTCATGACCAAACAAATAGTTGATTGGGATTATTTTTCATAACTGATTTTACCAGAAATTATTTACGCTGTCAAAATTGATCAGCATTCTTAGTTTACTGTCAAGATGATTCCCATAAAATGAAATTCAATACAATAAAATAATATCAGTCAATCAATTTTTATTTACATTGCACCTTCCACAATCCCCTCGGAAGCCCAACGTGCTGATCACTATCATAAAAGTCATGATAGGAAAAAACTGATCAAAGAAGACCATCAAAATTTGTTAAAATAGATGAAAGCAATCATAAAAGCAGTAAGAGAAGAGGATAGGATCATATTAAAAAAATAAAAACAGTAGCACATCATGCCAGTGTCATGAACACTATTGCTGAAAGGCTAACAAATAAAAATGAGTCCAAGTGAGACTTAAACACTTGATGGCGCCTGCTTAATAATTAACAGCAACTCGTTCTACAGCGTTGGAGCCATAACGGAGAATGCCCCATCTCCCCTTGATCTGTGTTTGGAGCAGGGGAACACTAGCAACTCCTGCTCAGCTGAGCAAATAGACTGAGAGGGCACATGCCTGTGCAATAAAGCAGAAAGTTACAGGGGAACCCTGCCTTGCCCTGTACACAGAGCAGGATCTTAAATTGTGCCCCGTACTGCACTCCGCTAGTGCAGAGAAGACAACTCCAGAGTGATGTTTTCCTTCTGTCAAGAACCTATCAGCCGAGTTTTGGACAAGTTGGAGCCTTGCACACCCTGACTAATACCAGCATACGAAGCATTGCAGTAGTCCAGTCAGGACAAAATAAAAGCACGAAGCTTCCAGATGAGCTCTTGACAACAAAGGCTTGATCCTGGACGACTGCTGAAATAAAGTATGACATATTAAAGGCCACCAAGGACTTAATATGCTTCAAACAGTCCAGTAGCAGAGAGACAGATCCACCTGCCCCCCGACAGAGAACAATACAGATCTGGCAGTTGTCAGCATAAAAATGGAATATCACACTAGGCCGACAAAGGAGGATCCCCAGTGGCAGCAGATATACCCGTAAACAAAAGGGGGGCAAGGTCAGAGCCTTGTGGGGACCCCCCCCCCCCACACACACACACACACACAACTGATCTTCTGTTGTATTATCCTTTGTTTATTTTACTTTGGTTGACTTGTGACAAAAACTCCTTGGATTCACAACTTGTTTGTTTACTGCTTTTGTTTTGATGCATTTGAGTCAATCTTTTAAACAAGCCTCACTTTCTTCTATCTACATTCTAAGAAACCAGTGTTTGTGATTTCAGTTTAAATCCTCTACATCTTAATAAAGCACTTCGTAATTCTAATCTATCTGAAGTTTCAGCAGAAGTTCTAAAGGTTCTCCTTTCATTTAGGAAGCAGTGAAAGCAATGTTTGTTTCATTAAAGGTCAAAATAGGGAAAGATCATAACTAAACTTGATGTAAATTTTCTTGGTTTGTCAAGACTTCTTTCCCACTGGTCTGATAAAAATGATCGGTCTGTTTTTCATCACTGGTACATCATTTCTTTGTACAGTTCTGCTTCTGGGGCGTTTTTGTTTTTCCTGCTGGAATTTCCTTTCCCAGGGTCAATGGGACTAAATATGTCTTTGAATTACAAAACATCTGACTCTAGGAAGCCCAGCTTTTTGGTTGAACTATCAACAGAGAGTATTTTTTAATAACCTAGTTTTCCAGAAGGCAAAACTTTGTCATAAAACAAAACCAGCCTGGCTAGTTGAAACGTGTTTTGGTACTTGTAGCAGTAAAATAAGTAGTGATGGAGTCATCAGATAAGTTGAGATTAGTTCTGACCAGCTAACTGCTAATTCAAATTTAAACCATTACCAATGTGGATTAATGTAGTCTCAAAATAACCACCCATCCATCCATTTTCCTCCACATTTCCAGGGTCATGTTGCGAGGCAGCAGCCTAAACATAGAGACCAGACTTCCCTCTCCCCTTGAGTAACCTCTTCAGGGTGGAATCCCAACCCGATCTTTACACCAGAAGCAAAAGTGACGCTTTTGTAATGGATGTGTTCTACCTGCTCATCAGTGATTCCTTTCCCACAATGTGCCTTTCAAACTGGCAGCGAAAGCCTTCCATGCAGCTGGTCCTGCAAGGTTATGAAATCACTGGGGAATATGCTAGCTCACATGGAATTTTGCCATTTCACACAATCAAAGGAAAAGAGAAAGATAGACTTTTTACCTCAGCCACAGATACACAACAGGTAATGACTTTCTTTTCTTCAACTGGAAACCTGCAAGTGGCTTTTATTTGAAAGTTAACTGATCTTTTACACTGCCAATTTGTTTGACTTCCTGTCTGGCCAAACCTGAACTGCTGAGCCTGAAGCGTTCTGGGTGTGTAACATGTAAACAATAGACACAAAGCATACGTTTAGCGGCGAGATGTGTTACTAAACTACCAGGATGTCTCCAGATTGCGCTGCTTTGCAGTCATTGAAACACACCCATCAACTAAAATGGTGGCCGGCTGCTATGTACTTTCTTTCATGGATGTTAAGTGATGCTTACACATCTGGTGGAAAGCCATGGTAAAGCGTTCCCAGGCCAGCTGAGAAACTAAGAAATGTAGTCCCTCCCTCCAGTCCTGGGTCTTCCTTTAGACTTCATCCTGGTTGGACGTGCTCAGAAACCCTCACCTGGGAGGCCTCAAGGAGGAATTCTAACCAAATGCCCGAGCCATCCCAACCTCTCGATGTGGAGGAGCAGCCGGTCTACTCTGAGCCCCTCCCAGATTACCAAACTTCTCACTCTATCTCTAAGGGAGGGCCCAGACACCCTAATGTCAGTCGCAACTAATGTCAGTCGCTTGTATCTGCCATCTCATTCTTTATGCCACTACCCACTACTCATGAGCATAGGTGAGGGTAGGGATGCTTATTAGTATGTAAATCAAGAGCTTTGCTTTTGCCCTCTCTTAACGACAGATGGATAATGTGCCCACATAACTGTAAAAAGCAGAACCAACTCTGGGGCTCCTGTTTCAAGAAGTAGAAGTTAGCCGGAGGAAAGGGGAGCAGGGCACAGTAGGATTTGGAGTCTTATTTTATGTTTATGTTTATTTATGTTTATTTATTTGGCAGACACTTTTATCCAAAGCGACTAACAGTTTATAACCTATAGGGCATGTTGTGATCTGTGGGGGAAACCAGAGTACCCGGAGGAAACCCAAGCATGCATGGGGAGAACACGCAACTCCACGCAGAAAGGCCGCAGCTGAGTTTCGAACCTGCAACCTTTGTGCTGCGAGGCAACAGTGCTAACCACTGCGCCACCATGCAGCCCAATTTTATGATATTCAGACGCCTCTCCTCTGATTGCCTAACAGCAACGCGACTCTACCACTGACTCCATGTTGAGGAGTTGCTAATGCTAACAGTTTGCTTCTACTAGTCGACATGCACTCTGCTCTCTCCTGGTTGCTAAACCGACAACAGCCTTCCCATGAGCCAAAATGAATGAGTCCTTGAATGCTAACTATACATCTGACCAGCTCTTCTAATCCAAGCATTTCCCCATCTATTTTCTATCGGCAGCCAATGCAGGAAATAGGTGTAGAAGAATAATTTCACTTCAGCCTGCATGTTAAACTCAGAGTGACCGATCACATTTAAAAAATAACAAGTAAAAACTGGTTTCTCAGTGAACTTGCTCTTTAAACACCTCCACTTGGGTCAGGACCTTGTCCCTGAACCGGAGAAGGCATTCTACACTTTTCTGAGTCAAGATCATGGTCTCAAATTTGCAGGTGCTGATTTTCATCCATTCATCCATTGTCTCAAAATAACTATCTAAAAATGCAAAGTCTACGTTTTTAACCCTTTGCACTGCTTTCAGTGCAATATCACTTAGTTGTGGCTGCATTGGAAGGGCTACAAGCCAGCTTCACCGCAAATAACCATGTTTAGTGTAAATAATGTGAATCTCAACAGAGTTTGTGGCTTATAAAAAACTCTTCTCATGAACTGAACTGTGAACTTTCCAACTGGATGGGTTAAGACAGTAAGAGTCTACCCCACCATGAATATCCTTCGATTTGTAAGTCTAGTCAGAACTTATCTTGTTTCTCTGAATTAAAGTCAATCAAAGAGCTAACTGCAACAAGATATTAACTAAAAAATGTGAAACTACCAGGATTTCCACAAAAATCTGTTTCCAAAGATCTGAACTGTCCCTTTAAGAGGAGCAATATTCTCCATCCTGTCATCAGAATCAGCGAGAATATCTCAGGGGACGGCTTCAATCCGAACCAAACTCTTACAGTACACAGGGCTTG